GGTCTCAGCGTGCAAAGATGACCCTTGGGCTTCCTCACATGGCGAGGCTACGAATATGTCGCGCCGACAATTAGGGTACGCGGCCTGTAGTGCACTGTGCACAATTGTGTGGGCCAGTGCCCGCCGGTTTTCAAAAGAACACTTTTCATCCATGAGCCCCTGACTGATACGCCGAACTCGCCGAGTGATGCAGTTAATGACGTCAATCTTTCTTCTCAGCAGAATTTTAGGGCGCGGCTCAAAACGAGCGGGAGGGTACGTTGCTGTCATGAGGCGTTCCACACCAAACAGTAAGTTTTGTTGTTGTCGCTGTTGTTGCTGCATAGAGGAAAAGCTACAGTGTGAGGAGGCATTTCCGCTTGTACACACCATTGTTTTCTCTTCTCTCTCCCTCCTCAATTTCCCTCGTCCCCCCCTTTATTATTATTATTATTGTGTGCGTGGGTGAGTTTTGTTTTTGTTTTACTGCTTCCCCACCTCCCCCCTTTTTTTGTTCCTATTATTTCCCTCCACTCCACGCCTATATGTATATATGTATATAAAGGCCTTCCTTTGCGCCGTGCGTTGTGATTTCTTTGTGAGCCCAGCATCGTTGCGAAGAGACACAAGTAAGGAGTGGAGGGGAGAAAGGAATAAATTACAAACAAACAAACAAACACGTCAGAGCCCAGCGATATTCACCCACGCATCCGCACGCTTCTCCCATCCCTTCACAACCCCCTCCTCCCCCCCCACACACTCTCTCTGTTCCTCTTGCGTTAACTGTTGTCCAGCACCACTCTTGCCTTGAGCTCACGCCCGTTTAATTTAACCATCCCCGCAAGCTGCAGCTCCTTCAATGCCCGTACGAGCGTCTCGTCGGAGATCTGACAGATTCGCTGCAGCACCTCGAATGAAACGTACTTCTGTCTGGAGTTCCCCTGCCCCAACGCATGGGAGGTCAGGAGATGCAACAGACGCACAGAGTCCGGAATGGACGGGTTAAAAAAATTGTTCTCAGACAATGAAAACTCCCGCATCGCTATCGCACCGCTCTTGTCATGACAATTCTCGTCTTTTAACCCGCTCGGGTATCCATGGCCACCGTCTTGGCCCACTACACCCTTCAACTCCTCTAATGATTCCTGTGGCGGTAATACGGCAAGCAGGGCAGAGTGCATCAACTCGGCTCCAAGCGGCATCTTCGCCGCAGGCGCCCGCATCGCCGCGGGTATTGCAACAACTGCCCTTGTATCCTCCGCACCTTTTTCCTGCGCACTCTGATACGACTCATTCTGAAGCGTACTGCTGGGTGTGTACACCGGCACGCATAATGCCAATGCCTCTTGGAAGATCATCTCTGTGTCATTGCCCCACCTCCGCCACAGTTGCTCTAACACCGACACAACACCCGGTATACGCTGCAGACGCATCGACCGCTTCCACACAATATCCTCGTACAACACAGCGAATGCTACCGCCTCATTCAACAATTGTCCATCAGCCAACTGTCCCGCTGCGGCAAGAATGGCGTTGAGAATATCTACTGTGTCTACATGACGAGACATGCCATCACCCCTGTTTCTCTTATTTGCAGTGGTATTCGTCCTCGATGCCCCTGCGCAAAACAACGGCACGGAAAAGGGGGAAGAGGCACAACGATCACGCGCGGACGCGGAATGGGAAAAGGGGCATAGCAGCGCATGGAGACCTGTTACAACGTCACCAAGTTGACGCCGTGTCGTCCACAACGCCTGAAGCTGCCGGAGCGCCATCGGATGCAAGATGACAGGGAAACGACGAAGTGCTTCTCGCAAGAAACAACAAAGCGGTAGATTTTCTCGACGCACAAAGAAAAAACTTGACTCCCGCTGCCGTGTCTTATCTGCCAGTTCCATATGTGCTGCAGCGGCCTGCTGCTGCTGCGGTTGATCCTGTTGTTGTGAGTGTCGCTGTTTTTCTTCCGTCACCCTTTCCGTTTTCCCATCGGCGTGAGTGTTGGCCTCTGTGTTGCGTGGAGGGGCCGTCGGTACATTCATCCAAGTCTCAAGACGACGAATGAACGCCGTCGCCTCCGCATCGTCGTGACGGGTCACGCCGGTAATGGAACCATGAAAAAGCTGCACGCAGTACTCACGACAGAGTGGCTCCCGCAGGGCTTCTTCCAGGAGGGCGCCGCCGTACGCGAGGTCGTCTGGAAGCAGCAAGACGGAAAATTCGATACGAGCCCCGTGTGTGGCTTCTCTGGCGCGACACAACGCCGCAATGGCGCTGATTTCATGGAGAAACATCATCAACGGATCACATGAACGTCGGGATCGATTTATGTCACCGCGACGTGCGGCGCTTTCATTCGCGCAGCAGCTCAAAATAAAAAGAGCCCGCCGCTTAATTGGCCCTGACTTGAATTTACCCTTCGATATGGATGATGGTGACGGCACATCCGCGGTTGAAGCGGTTTCCTCGCGCCGGTGACGTTTGGCAGCCATGACTGGGCTTCGGGAAGAAACTCCATCCTTCTCAGCATACACGGCGTCACACCAGGCCCGCACCGCCTCCATGCAACTCAGACGAACAATGGCGCTGCTGCTCCCACCTTTTTGATGCAAGGAATAGTCGGCCGTACGACTCTCCGGCAGAAGATTAACGGCAAACACACGAAATTCGTTTCTCTCAAATTTTTGCACAAGAGCAGATCTCTCGCCGGATGATGACATGGAAAGAAGTGACAACTCCGCCGCAATTGCCAATGGAATGTAATTGTAGCACCCCGTCAGAGCATTTGGAATGCGCCGCGGTGTATCCTCACCATCCCTCACGGCAGCCGTCGTTGTGGTCGCCGTTTTGGCCGTTGTGGATAACAGTGTCGACGAAGACGATGTTGTTTTTGGTGGTGGCACCTCATCCCACGATTCCCCACGCAAAAAACGAATTAACGCCCCGAGTTCTTCCGGCATCAGTAACGCCGACACACACGCGGCGGCACCGTCAAGGATAGCAAGAGCATCGCTCATCCTTCCTTTTCTTATTTAACGGCTTTTCTTTGTTTAAAAATTTATTGATTGGAAACAGCAAAAAAACAACAACAACAAGAAGGACACCACCACCCAGTCATTTTCACTTTTTGTAATCCGGTGCGGAAAATAAACACATGTCCGTCGTTGGTCATAATAGGGGATAAATGAGGAATAAAAGAAATTCTTTGATATCAACTCCCCAGTTGAAGTACCGGACAGTGCGTCGCTAGACGGTTGAATATAAATTGAATATATATATATATATATATGTATGGGGCATAGGGGACAAAAGGAAACATATACACAACAACAACAACAACAACAACAACAGGTGAATGTACATTTCCTTCTCTCTCTCCGTGTGTATTTGTTAAGATTCAAATGCCCCGTCACGCCGAAAAATGACAAAACTGGGAGCAGCGGGGCACGCCGTTAGAAACACTCATTGCACAGTCTACATGCACCCAACTACCGCAGGGACACCTGACAAGTCCTCCTGCCTCATCCTGCAACTCACACACGATGCAGCAGTTAGAGAAATTGCTGGCGTCTTTCACAGCCGCGTTGGCAACTTCCGTCGACATCGTCCTCATTGCGTTAAGTGTAGGGAAAAGTACATCCCTCACTTCACCGAATAACTCCATGTATGAATCCCGTGCAGCCGCCTCTTCTGCAGCATCTTTTCCTCTTGTCGCGGCCGAAGAGTCGTCCATCTGCAAAAGTGACATGACGCGGGCAACACGGGCCCGCTCCTGCTCCTTTTTTTTCTCGTAGTACTTCTCGTCGCTATAGAAATCCTCACTGTCGTCGTCGTCTTTATCGCCATCATCATCATCATCATCATCATCCGTGCTGCTGCTGGTATCAAACTTGGGATCCCCCTTCTCTTTGTTGCCGCCAGGATGTAATTTCTGCGGCCCCCCTTCCACCGCAAGTGACTTCCCTCTTCGCAAAATCGGCGGCTGTGGAAGTGGCGGAACATCATCCAGCTTGCCGACCCCAACATGGTTCGTCGCCACACAAGTGTCCAACAAATTGTGCCGTAGACTCCACCAAAACGGCCGCGTCCTCCATGACTCCTCCACTTCCTGTGATTTACAAAAAAGATGCGAAAGCCACGTGATACATGGGGCGTCCAAGCATTGCTGCAGGCCACATCCCCTCTGCAATCCCTGCTGCTTGCTTTTAGCCCTCACATCCAGCACCAGCTGCCCCAACACCTCGTCTGAAAGAATCAACAGACGTCGCGTGGTGTCGTACTGTCCCACCGCCCGCTTGTCTTCCTCGCCTGCCCCTCGCGACTGCGGCTCATGGCTGCTCAACATGAGTCGTCGTGTGTAGTTTTCACTGTGAAGCCGTTCCGCATACATGACAGCCAATTCAAGCATCATTTTTACCGCCTGACTTGAAGAAACGCCCCCATCACTACCGTCTGCTGTTGTCGCCATCCCCACGCCGGTGGGGCTCCTCAAGTCCTCTAGAAGTGGTGTGACAGTCCTTTTGCCCTTCGCCTCGTCCTGCAGCACCCGCAGAATGCCCAAGAGCCGCATCGCACGCGTTACTTCAAACCGTCGTTTAATCCACCGCTGAATCGTCACGGCTGCCACGTATCGCGTAGCCGATTCATTTCCCATCACAACACACACACACACAAACTCCTCTCTTCTCTTTTCCCCTCTATGTAAATGACTGTTGTATCAAAAGCCCCACAGCCTCTGGCTCCGTACATTACCGTGAAAACAACAATGAGACAAAAATAAAACAAAAACAAAAAACACGTGGATAGTGGTAGCGGATCGACCTCAATGCAATTTCGTAACAGAGAGGCGCATACAGACGTGATAGGCTGCGTCTTCCATCACATCGTCAACGTTTTTTTTTTTTTTTTTCACTAATAGCACTGCTTCCGCGACATCTTCCCATTCTTCCACTTAACTCACATCATTGCGCGCCACGCCACGCCACGCCACGCCTTCCCTCCCCTACCCACTCACAGCAGTGTCATTACGTACTGGCATGGAGACGGTGTTTGCTTAACAGTTCAACACGCTGCCATACGGCACACCGCTCGCTGATGCCAAATGGGTAATACAACACTCGACACCACATCGGAGTCCTGTCCACATCCAGCAGCCGGTACTGCCGCGGCTTCGCTGTAGCTACCAGAGGGTACGCAAAGACGTCCTGCGGATAGTTCTTCAAGTCACTTGAATCATATGCACTATGGCTGTCAAGAATAGCGTCGCACTCCAGGGCAGCATCCGACACGTACTGTTCGGCAATCTCTTGATTCAGATCGTTTACACCGGCAGCACCGCAGCGACATGTGGCGTAGGAATCATCTCGCCTGAATGGCAGCGGCAATGCCCCTGAGAAGCCATCCGTCTTTATGAATGCCACCCGTGTCCTCTGCGTGTCCAGAAAGAAGGACGAGGGGAAGCGGTACCACTCACGGCCAACACAAACCGTGTAAAGATCGTCTGATAATGTCATGTTATTTCCCCCTTTTTGCGACGCAATTTTATGTGCCGCTGCACGCTGGAGCGCATCATATGTATCATACATCAATCGCTGCGGCCCGGCGTAGAAGTGGTAGACGGCCATACTGCGCGAGAGTGACAGGACACCACAGAGTAGCAGTAGAATGCAGCCCGTGACGGGTAGCAGCCGCGACTTTCGTGGCAATTTCCCACGAGCCAAAGCGTGTCGTCCCATTTTCTCATTCGAGTCCTGGTCCGTCGCTTTTGCAGATGGCGCTGGTGCTGCTCTGGTGCCGGTCGTCATGCCGGAAGCTGAGTCAGAGGGAAAGAATACGAGTGTGAAGCTCAGCGCGGCGGCAAGAAGAAGAAAAGGGTACACCGGCGCCATGAAACGCTCCTCTTTATGTGCCACCGTAAGCCAAAAAGTAAACCACACAAAAAAGGGAGAGATGTACAACAGCATGCAACTCCTCGAAGGGGGCAGTGACGATGACGAAGACGGTAGTGCGGATGGCACCGACGCCATGTATGCCTTTACATCCACCAATGAAAAAGAAGTGAAAGGAAGAGGAAGTGCAGCGCGTTTCCGCTGCATTGTGGCTGCCTCTTCACGGGCACCCCCCTTCTCCTTGTAATTCCGGCTGTTATAATCATGTTTCGTGCTGTCACGGGTATGCTTAAGGCTACCGTTTAGTGTCGGTCTAAGGATGATTACACACGGTGCCACAACACCTGCAAGGAACAAGACGTGTGCATTGAGTAAAAGATTCTTGATGAAGTAATACCAAGGCTCCACACCATATAATTCTGCTCCCCCCTTCAAGTTGTACCGCACGAGGTTCCATGCGCTCCATGTGACGCGGCAGTAGTACAATGTGTCGAGACCCACAGCCAGCGGTATAATGAGAGCAATTGCGAGGAGCAGCGATACTACCGATGCCTTTGGGTGTCGCACAATCAAATCCAAAGCCATTGGAAGAACCGCAAAGCCCGCAAATGGCCAAACTACAGCGCATGCAAAAACGGCAAAAAAAACGGTTCCAAAGACGCTGAAGTGATGCGATTCGCTTCGTCGCCGTCTTGACGTCCCTGTGTGACGGCCAGTAGAGGCCACAGCGGGAGTGTTTTTGTCCCGGGCGCTCCTGTGACCGCTGCGCAGCCAAAAACCCAGTGCCATGAAGTAATTAATCATCGTAAAACTTGTCGGCAGCGCGCTCACGGCGGCATGGAGAATGGGGTAGTTGAACAGCAGCAACGCCAGTGTCACCGCCGCGGCCCTCCCAGAGATCGCCTTCCGCACGCTGTAGACAAGAAACAATTCACTGAGGCACGCCATGCGGCCGTGAAAAATGCGGTTAAAAAAATACACATCGACACTTCGCGGGCTCGGCATCCCTGACATGAGAAGCGCAGGGGAGGCGTAGATCCACGTAAAGAGCCAAGAGCGCAGTGCGTAAAGGGGGCAGTTTTCCCACGTCTGCAGTCCGCTGCCGTAGAGCAATTGGTGAATGGGCTCAACGAAATTAAACGTCTCATCGCAGTCCGCCACTGGAAGAAAAACGGCGGCAAAATAATGCCCCGCTGACAACAGGGAAAATGCCGCCAACATCCGCAGCACCCCAACAAATCCCATCATGTAACGGTTCCCGGCGTATGCGGAAAGGACCAAACGAGAAAAGAAAAAAAGAAAAAAAATCCCGAAAATAAATGACTCGTGCAATAAAACAACTTTCACGCCCCCTCCCCCCCCCCAACATCCGTAAAAAAAAAAAAAGAGGGGGAAAAAAAAAAGACAACTGACACGCTACCAAGACATAATTGTTGAGTGTTTCCAAAATGCAAGGAAGAAAATACACACGGAAAGAAAAAGAGAGAAAAAAAAAGAAAAAAAAAAAAAAAAAAAAAAAAGGAAAGAACTCTTAAATTATCATCTCATACTCTTTACTCGTCAATCTTTGACTTCGCAGACTCACCCGCACAATAAACATAAAAAAAAAAAAAAAAAGAAAAAAAAGAAATCCCTTTATTAATCCTTCTATCATCAATGTAAAACACAATGTCTATGAAAAAATTATTAACAAGGAAGATAACACACACACGAGTATGTAGACGTCCATTTAAATATAAATATGCGTATGTGTGGGTTTCTGAGTTTTCATGTGGATCTCATTCCAAACACCATCGGTTACTTTTATACTTTTTTTCTCTCTTTCTTTCTTCCTCCTCTTCCTTCTCCACTTTCCCACACAATCGCCTTTCATATTTCATCCTTCTCCGTGTAGTCGTTTCGTCCATCAAATTTGTCCTGAAAAACAAAAACAAAAACAAAGAAATATGCACAAGTAGGAAAGAAGAAATAAATAAAAAAAAAAAAAAGGAAATAAAGAGGTTAATATCCGATATCACAGCACTGCATGTCCAGAGGTGACCTTTTTTTTTTTTTTTTGCCTTGTGGCCCCTCCTAGGCATCGGGGATCTTACGGCGCCTATCAATTCGCTCCTGCTTTGTGCGCCGTAGTGGCAAGCATGAGGTAAAGGGACAGGGACGCCGTCTCGTTTCACTCCAGTTGAGTGGCGCCCTCAACTCGCTCATAAGCCACTCCCGACCAGACGTGCCATGCGTGAAAGGATTCCGCTTCGGCATGGAAGACTGAATGGATTTGTAAAAAACAGTCAACTTTTGAAGTGAAAAATCTTTCATTCGCTGCTGCCGCTGCAATGGCGTGGTTTTCTCCTTCTCTTCCTCGTCTTCTTTGAATACCCTTATTTTATCCGCCACCCCGTGCGTTTCTCCCGTCGACTGCGTCAATAGTGAGAAGAGCAGGTTCCCTGCCAACGCACATGGCGCCGCAAGAGTTTCATGACTAAGTGCTACACAGACTCGGTTGACATCGCCGACGGAGAGACGGATGGACGGAACCACTAACTCCGCATGGGAGAATTCATGGATGAGAACAAGCGCTCCAGTGGACCCTGCTTCAATGATCCGTGGCTGAACCCACAAGTATGAGATTTTACTAGAAGAATGCAGAGAAGCAGATGCAATGACCCTTGTGAGCATCATAGTCACGTGTGGAAGGTCTTTTTCCAGCCACCGGGGATTTTTTTGCCAGGCCCATGCCGTGGGGATTACCGATCTCTTTTGCAGAGAGGCGCACTCAATGTGGGGTGGAGCAATTATCATTTCCCGTAGCTTGAGCTGCCCTGCATTTTTGTCCTGACCTTCGAATATGCTGTGAGGGACAACAACATCCAGCATACCACGGTTCTCAGCATCACTTTCTACGTGGTCAACAGCAAAAGCATGTCGATGAAGAACAGCATCGTCCATCCTATCCTCTTCGTTCTCTGTGCCATGAACTCCTTCAAAACTGGTGGCATTTTCAGTCTCAGATGTATCCTCCTGTCTTGTTCGCTGCTCACTCATTTCAACATCTCGAAGACACCGCATTCTTCGCTGGATTTCACGCACGTTATTTTGAGCGACCTCGTCGAGGTAGTTTTGTTGCAGCTCGATGCGATAGATTCGTTTTGGAAGTACTTGCGGCAGCTCCGTCATCCGATTCCGTGCGACGCGGAGCTCCACGACGTCGGGAAAAAGCATATCCAAGTCATTCAGCTCGCTTAGATGGTTGTAGGAAAGGGTAAGTGTGTGCAGAGACCGCATGGGTTTCTCTAAAACATCCACAGAGGGAGGAAGAAGGGTACGTATCTGGTTAAAGCTCACGTCAAGTACTCGTAATGCAGCAGACTTTTGCAGAATGGAGTTGGGAGTAAAGAGTGGGCCAAGATCCTCAATTTTGTTATGCGAGGCTTGCAGAACGCGAAGGGATGTCATGTTCTCAACGCCGGCAAGACTAGTGATCTCGTTGCGACTCACATCCAACAGCACGACCCTTGTAAATTCCGCAAGTGCGGTAGGCTGAGCGGATAACGACGGTTCCGGTACCGCAACAAGGGACGTTATGCTATTGCGAGAAAGTTGCAGCGTGCGCACTTGACTCGCCACTCTGGCTCCACTGCCGTGCCTCGTTTTGGCGGCCGTATTGTGCAGACACGGCAGTACGGTGAGCTGTCGAGAAGAAAGATCCAGCAGCTCGTTGCGGCCCAACACGGGCAGGACGACGCATGAGTCATATTTCAAATTTGGCGGTTTAACGACATTGAAGGCGCAAGTTTTCGGAGGCACCGTTCGATTGCTGTGTGATGAAGAGGATGGGAACGAATTTTTCTTCCCGGCGTTGACACCGTCCACGACATGACCCCGCGCCACGGGCAGATGCTCAATCTCTTCATTGTTTTTCTCGTCCATCAGCCACGGCGACCCCTCAATGTGCAGGCTGGAGTACAATTCATCCGCTCCCCGTGCCCACGGGCCACTTTGCGTCTGGGCGACAGTTTTATCGCACACCGCCGTGGGCACATCCACAACCACCATGGCCACGGGCATCCCTCACCCGGCTGTGAGCACGAGCGGAAGCGCAATTCGCTCGTGAATTTCTCCTCTCCTCTCTTTTTTTTTTTTTTTTTCTTTCTTCTTCTTCTTTTGGTTTGTTTTTGATCCCGTTTGAATTATTTATTTTTGCTGCTCTCCTTTGATTGCTGCGGAACGACCCTCCCAGAAGGAATACTGGATACACCCACAGATGCAGGCAAAAAGGTGCGCACTCACAGTGTGGCAACAAGGCCTGCAGTCGCCCCATAAAAATGCAGAGAGAAAGAGAGAGAGAAAAGAAAAAAGAAAGAACAGGCAACAAATATTTAAAAAGCAACAACAACAAAAGGCACGCTGCCAAAGAAAAAAAAAAAAAAAATGTTTATTCCGGCATCGGACTCCCCTTTTTTTTCTTTTTTTTTTTTGATTTTTTCTTCGCAAACCTTCATTTCGCTTTCCCTAGCAAGCCACACGAGCACGCTCCACGTGTATGATACCTGCCATCCATACAAGCGATATCGCCGTGACGGATGCCTGAAGGGGCAAAGAGATCACACAACCACGCCGTGGCACCTCCTTTTGTGTCGCTTTGTTGTATGCCCCCGAATTGAACAGTGAGAACATGGCAAACAGCAGGTGCAACAGAAAGGGTGCAAGGAGGGATGCCACAGCCAGCAGTGGCTTTGAGCGAAGCAACGTGGGCTCGGGAAGTTGCGTCTCCTCTTGCTCCCGCGGCGGCAGGAGGGGCTGGGAACCGCCGTCATCTTTCATCGCTACTGTGGGTGTTTTTATGAAACACACAACTTCCCCTCTCTCCTCCCCATCCCCATCTCCCTCCTTCTCCCGCTGCTCCGTGTTATCAACCCACTCGCGGGGACACACCCTATGCGGTTCCTCATCCTCACTGATATGAGTTACAAGTGGTGGTGCCTCTTCCCTCTTCTTCTGCTGGGGCGGTGTGTCGACGTTCATTTGCGTGTCCGGAGAGCCACGCAACGGCTCCAGCTCGTCCACGGCAGGTAATTTTTTCTTGGACGTGTTGACGCGGTAAAAAAGGAGAAGCCAGCGCCATGCTTTTTGTGGCTGCTGCAGCTTCTGCAACGCGGTCACTGCCTGCCCAGTCATCACCGCCCACGACACCTGGCAAAGGAGCAGCAAAAACGCCTGGAGGGTGCTGTGCATCAGCAGTGGGAGTCGTGGACAGACGTTCAGGTCGTACGCCGTCGTCCCCCTCGTGTAGAACGTCATGCGTTGCGTGGAGTCAAAAAGTGTACCCGCCCCCCGCAGAACGGAGACTGCCCCAAACCCGCAACCAACCGCAGCAGACACGAGCGCAAAGCGCATAGGACTCGCGACAAGCAGCTGTCCGTAGCTACGTGTGACCGACTCCACGCGGTATAAAGTGAAAAGCAGCCACACGCGTAGGAATTCCGTGACAGTGACGTCTACGAGGATAAGGAGTGGGACCAACGCCACTGGTTTTATCACAAGATACAAAACCCCATTGATGAAAGGACCAACAAACGCAACCAAGACGACACTAAGCGCCAACAGCAGTAGCTGTGGATGCGTTGCAATCGCGGCAAAAGAAGCAATTAGGAGCGGTGCATACAAAAGCAAGCCGCACCCAAGCATGCCGGTCAAATGCATATCCCAAAGATTCACTTTCCTGCTGTTTGTCCCCCTTTCTCTCACTCACCCCCCTCCCTTCCCCCCCCCTTTTTTTTTTTTTCCGTTTATTTCAATTCCTTCTCTTCCTTCTGGAGACCCACGCGTTCAGTTGAGCGAATACTGCGGGTGGTGGGGAGACGGAGAGAAAAACAAAACAAAAAACAAAAAAACAAAAAAAAAACATACAGTGAAATAGACACCACCCCAACTACAACAAAGGGCAAATTTAACCGCTCATAATTTCATTCGTACCAACCCAACCCAGTGAAGAGCATACATAAACTCAACCTCCTTTCCCTTCTCACTCTTACTCTCTCTATATATGTATGCTTTTATTTTTTTTTTTATTTATACATCAAAGCAATCACAATTCCTGCGTTGTTTTATCAGAATTCCTTCTCACTTTCCTCGTCCTCGGATGTGGTATCGTCAAAGCTCGTGAAGCGTTTTGGCTCAGAGGCCGGCATCACCGGCTTTGCTTCTTTTCTCCTGGATTCACCGGAGGAAGTGGAGGCGGACGTCGCGACACCGTGGCGTGGCACAAAAGCCGCATCTTCTGACGGCTCCTTGACGAACGTCAAAAAAGTTTTTCGCGGCGTGGAATAAATTCCTTCGCCATGTGACGACGGCGCAACACCTGTGTGTGGGGCGGCCGCAGACGCTGTCTCTTCCTTCTGCCCCTCTTTAGCTGACGAAACTTTTTCGCTTTCAGTGCTTGCATCCCAGTCGTCGTACCACGCAGTAGTCGGCTTCGGTGGTGGCGCTTCCTTCTCGGCGGTTCCCGCCGTATCCTTTACGGGAGTGACATTAGCTGCACCCGCACTGCTATCCGCCGCAATAACGCTTTCAGCGCTGCTTGAGTGCTGCCGAAACGACAATGCACGACTCCGACGCGACTGTTCCTCTGGTAGGAAGATACTGCTAGACAACTCGTGGGGCGGTTGCATCGATGCTGCCTTCATTTCCGCATCAAAGACGGAAGCAGCCGCCTCAGTGTTGTCATCATCAGCACCAAAGGTGCGAGCAGCATCGACGAGAGGCGTTGCGGCTGGGGGACGAAGGTCGGAGGCAGCAAAGACGGACTCTCGGGGTGCCACACCAACCTTCTCTGGTGGGGTTGCGCCACCAGAGTCGCTGCTTGTCGTATCATTCCACGTCATTGCCTGCTGCCGGTTAGTCGTATCGACAGCTGAGCTTTTCAATCGGCGTGTCTCCATTGTTGGTGGTGGTGGTGTTGCTGTTGTCATGTTGACCACACTCGAGCTGACTCTCCGCGAGACATCGGCCCCTTTCCGCGACGATGGAATCGCCTGCACGTCGGGTGATTCATTCTGATCTTCCTTTACCACCACTTCGGTAATTGACGTTTGCGGATGCGTGCGGGGTGTCTTCATGGCTGTTCCACCGGCGGACGCCAACGTACTCGGCATGCGTGGGTCCGACGAACGCAACTCACTGAAGTTGTCTAACGGGGCCTGAAAATTCCCCTGCTTTCTCTCGTCTCCCGTTCCTGTTACAGCCCTAGTGGTCGTTCCACCCTCCTTTGCATGAAGAGAGATTACGGCGGCAACAGAGCGATTTGCCGCGCAAGTGTCCTCACGGCATTCACTCACCGACGCCTGAAGGTCGTGCAAGGCCTGACGCTGGCGCCTCTGTTCGCCCTCCAGCTGTCGCAACTTCACCTGAAATTCCTCACATGTCTGCTGCTGTAATGTAGTGTCGGCATTAGTGGCGTGTAGCCGCGACTCGAGTGACGCCACCGTCTTGCGAAGGGCGTTCCAGTCACGAAGAAGGACATACTCCTTTTGCCCCTGCTCAACGGTATCGCTCATCGCGGCAAGGGCGGCCTCGAGAGACTCAATCTTCGACTTGCACGTCCGTAACTCTCGCGAAAGCATCTGTGAAGTCTCTTCGCCCCCACGCAACGTGCGCATCTTCGCCACCGCCTCTTCAAGCGGCGCAACCTTCGACTCCATCGACGTCTCCAACGCTGACACACGATCCTCAAAAGTGGACTGCAGACGCCGCACATCCCTCTGCATCTTCGTTTCCAGTCGTCCAGCCACTTGTTCCGTGGCCGTCGTGTTCTGCGTCTCTGCTGCCAAAATGGCGGCATCCATGCGAGCGTCACGCTGCTCTTGCCACTCAATTGCCTGCTGAAGGCGACTTGACAACGTGGCGACGTCCTTCGCGTGATCCTCAGTCGCAGCACGAAGCGTTGTGCAGTCAGCTGCAAAGCGTCCGGCCCGTGACTCAAGTTCACATAAACGACGATCCATGCGATCCACTTCCGCCCGCGCAGCAGCACTACTTGTCTCGCTGCGCAGCGCCATGTCATTTGCGTGCTCCAGCCGCGCGTTGACTGACTGCAAACCACCAAGAGTGTCACGTCGTGACTGCTCAAGGCGCTCGCCAACCCCCTTTACTGCCGCTTCGACATTTTTTACTCTCTGACCTAATTGTGCCGCCAAATCATCAAGGCGTGTGGTGGAAGCAAAAAGAGATTCTCGTGTTTCTTCAAGAGCCGCAAGGCGCTGCTGCAGGTGCGGCACTCGTCCTTCCACCGTCTCGACTGTGGCACGAAGACGATGTACCAGCTGCTCGCAGCCCTCGATGCGATCCGTGAATCCGTCAACCACACGGCGAGTTTGTTCCGCCAGCTGTTCGTCACGCTCGCAAACCTGCCGCAGCGCATCAACGCCACTCTCGGCGCGTAGTGAGGCGCGTCGAACGCTTTCAATTTCGGCACGCAGTTTTTCTGCTGTCGCGGCGGCGCCAAGATGAGTTTCAATTTGTGTCAAGCGTGCATCGCGGTCCTGCACGGTGTCCTCCACACGCTGCGCCCGCTCCATCGCTCTCTGCGCCTGTGCCTGCGCCCGCTCTGCCGTGTCACGGGCAACGCCAAGATTAGCGTCCACGCGACTCATGGCCTCTTGCGCGGTATCGGCCTTTCGCTCCGCCCGGTCTACACGAGAGGCGGTGACAGCACTGCTGGACTCCAATGCACCCACACGCTCCTGAAGGGATGCCGTCTGTAGCCGCACTTCGGCGTGACATGTGGTGGTGCAGTCGTGAATCTTGGCGTCCATGCCGGCAACAAGCTCCTCGTGACGCGCTATTTTTTGTGCAAAAGTATCAATCGGCTCGCGTAACGTGCGCTCAAGCGCTGTCGCGTGAGTTCGCCACGCCTCGTCCACTAATTCCCTCACATGATGGCCTATCGCAGCAATATCGGCCTTCAACTGCTGCTTTAATTTCTCACGCTCCCGTTGGTCGTCGCGGCGCATGTCCAAGTATCGCAGCAGCTCCACGTCCAGCCGCTGGGCAAGGGATGCCCGCTCCTTCTCAAGTTGTTGTGTTGACTCAACACGTATCAGACCGCACTCCGCCACGGCTGCTTCCAGCCGCTCACGAAGGCTGTCTATTTGTTCTTGAATGTACTCCTGCCGCTCAAATTGCGAGCGATCCCGAACTTTGGAGGAGCGGAGAACCTCGTCCAGTTGTCGTTGCATTACTGCCCGGGCGGTCGCCTCCTCCTTGTACCGCTGCAGCACGTTCACTTCCAGCTCCGCGATTGCACGACGAGACTGGTGATCCGCAGCATGGAGCTCCACCATCATCTCCTCCTTCCAGCGCCTGCCCAAGGAGACAATTGTCTGCGAGCGTGACTCCCGTTCCGCCATCAGCTCGTTGCGGAGGTTACTGATCTCCGTCATCGCCACGCGGAGTTGCCGCTGCAGCTCCAACACAGACGAGTCCCCATGCCTACCATTCAGAGCACCATCGCGCCTGTCCCATGATTCTTGCTGCTCTACAGGCAGCGATAGAGCGGCCGGCCGTCTACCGGAAAGGGCGTCCTCTGCGGCGCGCAACAGTTTTGTAGCCTCACGTGAGAAGTGGGACATTTTTTAATGTCAATTGCAATGTATATACGATGGAATAAAGCAGTGTATATGAATGTATATATTCCTTGCGAGTTGTTGGGGCTCACTTTCTCTCTATTACCGTGTGTGTGTATATGTGCCCTCTCAGTCCGCCACGCTGCGTCTCCCGCTCTACCTGTTCCAAGAAGGAGGAGAACAGAAGCAAAGGAAAAGGGGGAAAGAAAAAAAAGGGGTGGCGGAGAAAGAGAGGCGTACGTCACATCAACAATAAGCAAATGGAGTGCCGCATCTTCTACCGCCGCACATCCGTCTTGTCAAAGTGGTGGTATGCCGGCCGGGAAAAAGAAAAAAATAGAAAAAGGGGGGAAAGAGACCGACTGAAACATACAAACACACACAAACACATACATACAGGGGAGGAGGGCTTAAATATTTAAATAAGGAGGAAAAAGAATATATATATAAAGAGGTAGAAATAAAGTGTGATGCGTACACCACTGAGGAAGAAAAAAAAAAAATAAATATGCCAAAATAACGGCAAATATAAAAACAACAACAACAAACAACAAACAAACAAACAAATGGAAAAAATAAATACAACAAGGAAAAGCTAACAACAAAAACTCAGATCCTCCCGTCATTATTGCGGCAGTGCGGTAATCGATAGGAAATAAAATACAATGCTGGTGACAGCTGCCTACAAAAAGGTACCCTCCCGTGAGCGGTTTGTCTCTCCATTTGTGGAGGCAACACGCAGTCGCTCTGCGACCATCCGCAGCGCCGCTGAAACTTTCATTAGGCGGATCAGGCGAAGACGTGTGTCTTGCTCCCATGCACGCAGTGCCTCTTCCATCCGCAAAGCTGCCGACTCACGCCGCTTTAATTCTTCCTGAAATATTTTCATGCTCGCTGTCGTTTGTTCAAGAGCCACTGTCTTGCGTCGCGTGAGTTCGCGTCGTCTCAGCAGCTCCTCGTGCATAATCTGAACGCCAGCGTCATACCGCCGGAGAAGCGCATCGCGCAGGAGATCAAAGCAGCCGTCCATGTACAAACCGGCGTGATTCATCATGTGTGCGGCCAGCCCCAGGACGGAGGCGCTGCTTTCGCCCTGAGCAGCGCAAGGCCCTTCGTTTTTTTCTCTCTCCCTCTGCTGCTGGAGCTGCTGAGAGAGCTGCTTTTCGATGCTGCTCGCCCGTACAAGTGCCCTCTCAGTCCGTGACAACTTCTCCCGAAGCTGCTGCAGCTCCTCCGTATTTGGTGTCACCGTACGTGCGGGAGAAACAGCCTCCAGGGCGTGTTCGTTTGCCCGATCTTCAAGGACCTTTGAGAGGCGCTGAGCGCTGCCTAACTCACAGCGCAGCTCCGTAATTTGCTCTTCTTCCCCTGCCAAAGCGGATATCTTCGCCAACGCCTCTTTTTTCGTCGGTGAAGATGGCAAATGGGACGCCGCGAGACTACAGGCCGTACACGCAAATAACGTGGCGGCCGAAAGGGAAGCGCTGTGTTGACTAAGCAGGACTTCCGCCACGCACCGCCATTCAGAGAGCACGGTGCATAAGACAGTAGCGACACGATCTTTCGTATCGTCCTGCCGTGACAATACCAGTGTTGATGACAATTGTGTTGTTGTTGTTGTTGTTGGTGGTGGTGGTGACTTTAGCTGCTGCCATTTACCATGAAAGAAGTGCATGGTCTCTAGCCTTCCACGCAACTCAGCGCAAGTCAGTTCGTATCTTTGCCGCTCCTCCTGCATTTTTAACGTGAGAACCCCCGTGGCCCGCTGAAAAGCCTCAAACCGCCTCTTCTCCATTTCAACTTCACGCCGTGCGACACCCAACGCGCTTTGCAGCATAAAATTATCATCATCAAACCTTTTCTGTACTTTTCTCAATAATTCCTCTAAGTGTGCAATCTTTGCCTTGTACGCCTCTTCTTGCTGCGTCATATCTGTGGCGTGCTTGCATTTCACCGCCTGCACCGTGTTCTCTGGCCCTAACACCGTCGACAACTCCACACTGGTGTTCCTGTGCTCCCGCAGCCTCACGGTTTCTAACATTTCATCGGCATTCCTCCGCCACTTTGCAAACTGCCCACCCAAGGTAGTCAGCTCCTCCATATACACATTCTGCAAGCGCCTACACTCTTCCTCTACGATAACCTGAAACTCCTGCGCCATTCGGGCCCGAAGTTTCTTCTCTTCTTCCTGCAGCTGCATCCGTTGTGCCGCAATACGCGTGGCATCACTCGTGACCTTCTTCATGGATGCTTGCAGAGCCTCCTCTCGCCTGGACAACATGCGTTGTTTTGCCCGCAACTCCTCCGCTAGCGCTGCCCCTCCCACCGTCGCAGTACGACTGCTACTATTCGCGCTCGCAGCAGTTGGACCGTCAAAAACATCATCACCATCATCGGCTGGAGCGTTTACTTCTCGAGTGAACGGTCTCACAGGTGTCCGCTGTGACGAACTCGTTCTCCACGCCCTCGCCAAAGAATGGGACAATAATGCCTCATCCATGCCGCCCTTCACCTTTAGCTGCTCAACCTCCGCCCTGAGCACCTCTGTCAGACTAATCAACTGCTGGTTCTCTTCACGCAGTGATGACGAAATCGCTAAAAGCCGCTCCAACTCTTCTCGCTCTTCATTCAGCATATTCAGCAGTTGTCCCTGCTGATGATATGCGTTCTCCGCCTCTGCCTGTAATTTGGCGACGCAGATGGCGCAGGCGTGACAGAGCGGCACTGGGGCAGAGCCGGGGCGTCCAGGCAGTGTTAACTGACGCTTGAGGCAATGTGTACACATAACCATGCCACATGCATGGCAGTTTTCTGGTTTATTGAAGAGACTGAAACTACGCCCGCAACCTGGACTTTGACAGGCGCTCACTTCACTCTTTTTGTACCACTCATGCTGTGGGAGAATTCGAAGCGAATGATTCATAGACCTTTGCCGTGTAAGCACGTATATATATATATATATATATGTTCACGTCTGGCAAACAAATCCACAACTTCCACGTTCTTCTTGCACGTAAAAGAAGCCTACTCCCTCCTTCCCTCCCTGCCCCTTCTTCCCAAAGAAACAACAAAAATCCTCAGAAAAGAAAAAGCGTTTTTTTTTTTTTGTTATTGTTGTTTGCTTGACAGAATTCACACGTAAGAAACACACACACACACACACACAGAAACTAAAAGACAAGAGAAACGCTGGAAATGTTTTATTCAATAATGCCGCTATCGACTTATTCATTATACCCCGCACTGTCCTCCCCTCCGCTCCAAATGCGACAAAACAAAGTAGAACGCAGTGCAACAAGTCATTTCCCCTCCCCCCTTCCCACTCCCCCTTTTTTTTTGTACTCAAATGCCGTTACAATGACTCTTCTACAAATTCAAGCGCGTCGCTATTGTCAGGTGCCGTGCCTGAAGACAGGACGCAGTTACAATAAGGTTTCAACGGTGCTTTTAAGCTGTTGAATCTCATTTTCCATCGACTGCACTCCGTTCTTACCACACGCTTTCGCCTTCTTCACGGCCAATTCTCTTCGCTTCGATGACTCCTCCCGTGCAGGAATTCATGTGTCACGCCGCATGGCCCACTTCTCGCGGCGCTGCGCTTCCGGCCTCCCACTTCCGTAGCACGTGCGTTTCCCGTTTTCCTCCATGCGGGCCATTCTCGCATCATATCGACAAATTCCTCCTCACGGCGACACAGTCTCTTTACAAGAGCGTAACACTTCCAGTTCAGTGACTCTTCAAGTCGCTACCCTGCAGGACTGCAAGAGTGCACAGATGCCTCTCGTCGTGGTGGTGACAGCCCCCGTTGCCATTTGTCGATAATGCAGGTGGACAGGGCGGAGGGCGGGATGGCGACGACAAAGCAATAGGCAGCGCAAGACCTTCAACGAATAGCCAGGTGGACGCTGTGGGCTTGTCACCAAAAGTTGTTGCAGCCAGTCGTCACCTGCGGTCAAGCGCTGCCGCATGATTCGTCCAGGCACCCATAAGAAACTACACCCAATAAAGTGTAAACAAACAGACAGAAAAAAACCCAACAACAAATCCATGTGTGTGTATGTGTTTCTGCATTTATATAAAATGCGGAGCCACGGCAGCAGCAACAGCAAAGGGAGCAGAGAAGAGAGAGAGGGAGGGAGAGAGGGGCTATCGTGTTGTTTTCTCTCTCTTCCCCCCCCCCGCCAAAAAAAAAAAAAAAAAAAAGACGAAAACGACAACAACGAGGACAAAAACAACAACAAAAGGCAAATACATAAAAGCGCAACAAAATAAAGAACTATAACACTACGTACCACGCGGTGGAGAAGGTGCTCTGTTCACGGTGAATGGTATCACGCTGACCGCAGAACTGAGATAAAAGTGGGGATCACAAACATCGTAGAGAGATGAAAAGTAGACGGGAAAGAGGGAGGGAGAAAGAAAAAAAAAAACAAAAAAAAACAAAAACAAATTAAAAGCATGTATTCTACTACGATGTGTAGGCCTCAAAGCTCTCTCGAACCGGGATAGAGCAATTCGGTACAGGGCATTTGCCGTCTATATGCTCTGCACAGTCCTTGCACAACACCTGGTGTTTGCACGGGTAACAAATCACAGTGCAAAGACGCCTGTGGCATATCATGCATTTTGAGCGCTCATTAATGGTCATGCGCACACGACTAATCATTTCTAACATTTCGCGTTCAATTTCCTGGAGCTGCTCCAACGGGCACAGCTGTAATCCACTAATCGAGGGCATTTGTACGTGTGTGCTGACAACTTCTGCCTTAATTTGATCCCGAAGGGCGTTGAGTGCCCGCTCGCGCCTTTCTGCCATTTGTGGGTCTTCCCCGTACCGCTTGCGACGCGGCTCCACGGTGAGTGCCTGCTGCTTCTGTTCCTCCAGCAGATCAAGTCGGAAGTGAAGCTGTGGCATGCTCATGAAAGCGAGCCCCGCTTCTCGTGTCATTTCAACCCACTGTTGATACTCCAACTGACGAAATGGAGAGTTGGAAATAGAATTCAGCTGGACAACATTGCCGTTCTGGGTGGCGCGGAAACATGGCGGGAGCTCAATGACGATGTGCCACTCCGTACTGGCCATGTCCGCTGAGAAGCCGGAGTACCTTGGGCCGCGTCTCGCCCCCTTCACGCAGGCAATGTAGTAATGATCACTGTTGTCACGGCGCACATCTTCGCTCCGCATCTCGAGGAGAACGCGCACAAAACACCCCCGCACTACCTCTTCAAAGTTCTTCCACTCAATAAAGTTCACCAGAGCCGTGCGAAAGAGCTGCAATTTCAATAAAATCTCTATAGGGGGTGCGGGTGTATGCTCGTCCACCAAGAAATCTGTCTGCCTCGCCTCGGCCATCACGTCTCCTACCAGTCTTGCGTTTCGGCCCCTCCCCCTTTTTTTTATTTATTATTCCACTCCTTTTCCTCCTTCACATTCGACAAAAAACACCGTGCGCGCAGGCGAGAGAACAAAGGCAGAGACGAACAACATGACAGTGGTGGACTCCGGTGAAAGGGCGTATCGACGCCAATCAAACACACACACGTACACACGTACACACAGAGAGAGAAATAATAAAAAACAAGGCGAAGTGTCTTTACGTAAAGGAGGGAGACAAACAACAACAACAAAAAAAAATACACAAAACTGCGGCGGCAAATCAATCTCGATAGTGTGTGCGTCTGTGACAACCTTGAACAGATATCCACAAGGAAGACGCAAAAAAAAAAAAAAAAAAAAAAAGGGATGAAAAATTATACTTAATTTTTAGATTTTGTAAAGGAAAAACAAAAACAAACAAGAAACAAAATAAAAGGGAATTGAAGAAACGATAGTCTTGCACGAGGCTCCAATACGTTCAGCATCCCTCTAATACATTTCATCATCCGGCCTTTCTAATAAAGAAAGCACAACAGGGGTTCTGACGCTCCCGGCCCCACCTGTTGGTGCTCGCGGCGTCTTGTATTCCTCAGGGAAAGTCTTCCCCGGGCACACTTCAGGTGACGCCAGATCGTCCTCCATACACTTCTCGGCATTGAGTGTGGTGTTGTTTGCTTCCATTGACCGCTGCATCTTCTCCTTTTGCAGCTCGTCACGCATCCTCTGAACCTTTTCGTCTCGTAGCTGCTTCCAACGACGCATCCTCTCATAGATTGTATCCTTGCCACGCGTCGACGATGTGTTCCCGCTTCCCCAGCTTGGGGTTTGAATGGGAGACACGTACTCCTCGGGGCCACGGTGGTAACAGTTGGCGTCACTGTACCGGATCGCCTCTCTGGCGTCCATCCATGAAGACCCATGACTTGACGCGAGTCTGCTGCTTTCGCTCTCTTGTACAACCGCATTTTCTCTCCTTTCACGGACTGTTGTTAAATGCTCGGGGGATTTTACAGGAAGACCGGAGACAAACATCCCCGAGCAGGGATTGATGGTAGGTTTGTGCGACCGTCGCTCCGCCTCCCAAATGGCCCGCATCTTCTCCTCATGCTGTATTTCGTACCGACGCCGTCGCTCATCCATTGACACCATACATGAATCCCCCAGCCAATGATTCGAAGATCTATTTAGCCCTGAATGCTCCTGTTCGTGCGGCTCTGTATACTTCTTGCGCCTAGAGAGATGGCCCTCACTTCGGGATCGCACACGGGATACACTCTTCGTGTGCATTATGTCACCGCACGGTCGTGCACTCGGCTTCTTTGCGCTGGATATCAGTCGATCAACGACATCGCCGTCGCGCTTCAGCGTCGCAGCGTATGCCGTGATACGCGGGGCGAAAGGCAAAGACTCCGCCCTTTCTTGCTCTTCTTGTCGTTCCCACAGCGCCAGCCTCGCAATCGCCGCTCTTTCCAACATGGCTTCAATGAAAAACTTTTTGTCAAACCCGTTGCGCTCCCTTGCGCGCTGCACAATATCCGCGCTGCGAAGGTTTATCCTCGGCGAGCCGTACACTTCCGCTATCTCCTCCGCCAGACGGTGGTGCCTTCGCTCTTCAGCACGTTGTGTCCTCTCCTGTTCCTGCTGACGGTGGCAATTGAGATATTCCTCCGTTTCCTGCAGTGCACGACCCTTTGATTGGCGTCCTCGGTCGGTTATATTTGGCACAAACCACCCTTCCATGACCTGCTGCCGTTCCCGCTCCCGCTCCCGTCGCTTGAACTCTTCACGCTTCCGTTTTTCCTCGTGCAGTCGCTCCAGCCGCTCGTAGATGACCGTGTCACGTGGGAGGTTGTGGCTCATGTCACTGATGCGGGGGGTGCGGCGGCACAGCGACAGCTCCTGTTGCACAGCCATGTTGCGTGCCTCTTCCTTTTTCTCCGCTGCAATCATGTCACGCCGCAACATGGCCTCGTACACCTCGCGGTTTGAACGTCTCTTACGACGTGCCGAGGGGGACGATGGCGATGGAGACAGCGACCCTGACGCGTCACGCCGCAGTGAAGGGGTTTTTAGCGCCACGTCACGGAGTGAGAGCGGCAGGCGGTTCAACGGATCCTGGAGGAATTCCGCATTGTAATCCTTTTTTGCCTTAATGAAGGATGGACAACTGCGCTGGTCGACGGAAAGAGGTGAATTGAACATTCTACCCTACACTTCAACCTTGTGAGGCAACAGGGGCTCGCACCATACACACGGAGAGACGGAAATTTAGCAACTTACATCAAATACAGCAGGAAAAGAAGGAGACCAGCAACCGAAACAACAGTTCTCAGGCCAAACACTTCAACCCAACAGGGGGATGCGACGCAAGAAGACCCATTTACTGAACACGTGATGCGGCTGTTCTCACGGGTTGGGGGGTGTGTGTGTGTGTGTGGGAAAAGTAAAATTATGCATATCATTCTTTTTTCCCTTTCTTTTTTTCGCTCCTGGTGCGGTACCACGAGTTGCCACCGCGTTTCGCCCGGCAGTTTCATTAACGCAGA